CATCTCCCCCACAGTAGGGGACTCTGGGCGACTTATTTGCCAGTGTTTGTATCTTGCCAAAATCAAAGGACCCTGGGTGGCTTACAGCACATTAAAATTATAAAGAACTGCAACAATAATAAATCAGCACTCCCCCTAGATGGACATCAGTAACACTTAACTAGGGTTGAGAGCTCAGTATAATAAAACTATCCTCAATGACAGTCATCTCCTAAATACCACTTAATATGTAAGTCCATTTCATACATAATTAGAAAATTAAAAATGTGACCTTACTGCATGCTATGTAATAAGAGATCATCAAGAGGTTTCAATGGTTACTTTGCTGGAATGTCAAGAACTACATTTCAAAAGTGTGTGGGGCTATTTCCCATTTTGGGAGGAAGTTCGTTTCCATGGGTGAAATGAGAGGCATAAACCTACCCAGTGCAGAAAAAAATTAGGATCATATTTTTGTTCCACCCACTCTGTGGAGTTGTGAGAACAATAAAGGGATGCTGGTAGGCTCTACGTGGCCTGTAGGCTGTCTTTCTTGCACCTTCTTATACACTCTCCAAAATGCCTGAGGATTTTCTGTCCAACTGTACAGATATCTCTCATGTCTTGCTTTCTTCTTGTAGTGGGGCAGACCTGCTGGCAGTGAATGCAGATGGCAATATGCCATATGACCTCTGTGAAGATGAACCAACTCTGGATGTTATTGAGACCTGCATGGCATACCAAGGTAAGGCAGGATATGGGAACTTGGAGCATCAGATGTGATTCTGTCAAATTTTTGCCCCATAGTATCGTTTTTCTGTTTGGCAGCTAAGACAGCCTTCTCTAACCTACTACCTTCCAGATGCATTGGCATACGGCTCCCATCTATTCTTGCTGTTGACCACACTGGTTAGAATTCTGGGAGTTATAGCCAAATATAGGTGGAGAGCCATCAGATTTGGCAAGACTGCTCTGCTATCCTCTATGCACTAACTTGGAACTAAAGTCCCACTACGCTCATTTAGACTTGCTTCAAAATAGATTCATATAGGATTTGCACTATAATTTTTCCTTCTGCATCCATGAAGTTATTTTGGTATTAGCTATCACTATTCAGCTATCACAAGTCTGTCAATCTAAGTTCTATTTCCTTTAGCATCTGTATTAAGGCCCAAAGCATAAGGAACTTGTTCCTCTAATGAAACAGAACAGCAGCCTCTCCTAATGCATAGCTCTGTGTGTTCCTTGGTGTCCTGCATAGTTACAGACAAGACTTGTAATTTGAGGGTAGGAAGCAGAAGCGACACTTCAATCCATTTGTTCATTGTATCAACAATCAGTGATATTCTCTGTTTAGAATCATGGCTACATGATATGTGCAATTGTTATTATGCATAAAATAGCATTTTGTTTATTATTATTAGATTTGGAGAACATCAAATGAGAATAAGAAAGTAACATTCATATGAATCCTGATTTTCTTTTATGACTTCTTAATGATTTTTCTTAATGAAAAGACAGCATCAGGGTTGCTCAGACATTACATGTTGGTGTAATGGTGTAAAAAGCTAACCAAAGTATAAAAGCAAATAGTAGTGTATTATTCATATATTTCTTTTACAGATGAGAAGTCATGGCAAGGAAAAGGAAAAGGAAAAAAAAAAAGGATCTCTCACTTTTCCCATGAGAATTTTTTTTTAAAAAGCATGAAATATTTTCTAATCTTTCCTTTTAAAATGATGCATGAAAAAGTTAAGAAAAGTGTTCATATATTGCAACCCAACTTTTACTCTCCCAAATGATTTCTAAAACTTATGTAATAGGAAGACTATTTAGAGTATCAAATCATTACAGTTCGTTTACACAAAGGACACATTATACAATAGAGCTCTGAAGTCAAGGTCAAGAATGCAATTCTTCCCCCAGTCGGTACTGCGATATTTCATAAGCAAAAAAAGGACTTGGTGCATTTTTTTAAACTCATGAGTCTGTTTCCTCTTGCTAACTTTTGATCGAGAATTCAGTAGAACTTTCCTGATCTCCAGTATGCCTTAAAGCACAGAGACTGGGATGAGCATATTGTTTTGTATTGTATTGTACTTATAATTTTATTGCCATTAAAAAAAAAGAAATACAGAGAAAACAATATGCAAAAATAATTTAAAAGACTAATGTGCACATGTCCAACAAATTAATTAGATCTTGATATAATAGCAAGGCAAATAAAAAGAAATTAAACAAAAGAAAAAAAAACAGAAATAACCCTAAAAATATTAACTTACTAAATTAATTTTAAAAATAACAACAGCATACAAATTAAAACACAGCTGAGGTAGAAAAAAATCCACAACACAAATCAGCATAGCCATTGTATGGGCCCAGATCCAGGTCTGGCAACAGAACCATGTTTTAAGGCCTTGAGAAAGGCTGAGAGGGTTGGGGCCAATCTAATCTCTGGGGGAAGGATGTTCCAAAGGGTGGGCACCACGACAGAAAAGTCTCTGTTCCTGGGCCTACATAAAAATTGTCTAGCCTTGTAAAATAAGATGAAATCTATGCCAAAGAGAAATATACTGCATCATTTTTTTTGAAAAGTAGAAAAAAAATAGCCCTTTCAACAATTGATAAGTTACACATGTCTTCAATCCATCTTTGATATTTGGGGGAATAGTACTTTTCGTGGAATCTGACCATTTTTGAGGAATATTGGTCATACTGGGTATGGGGAAAAGCCAAAAGAATTATACTGAGAGCTTGGGGGTGGAATAGGTATTGACAGTACCATTTATTTAAATGTATGTGAAAAGCACTTTTAAAAAAGATTGCATATCTTTCCTTTCTTTTCTACAAATATCTTCATTTGCTTTAACATTTCCAGAAATTTTATATCATGCGTTTCCTCTCTTCATTGTAGGAATCACACAAGAGAAAATCAATGAGATGCGAGCCGCCCCTGAACAGGCAATGGTTGATGATATTGCAGAGATGATTGTAAGAGGAGAGGATCTGAACATAATGGATGTCCAAGGTGCTTCACTGGTGAGCCATGTCCCCATTGTTTTACTACAGCGGGTGGACAGACTGACCATCTCTGAATATAGCTGCATCTGCAGATCTTCAAGATACTCTGTATTGTTTTTTAACATACATGCTCCTGAAATGACCAATGTTCAAGTCAGGTAGTTCCCCCCCCCCCCCAAAAAAAATAAAAAAATTCTCTTTCCCAACCAAGGAGTTTTTTTTTTTTTTTTTT